AGAAAAAGCTTTCACAAAAATTCAACACATATTTATGATAAAAACTCTGCAGAAAGTAGGCACAGAGGGAACCTACCTGTTGGCTGTGACAAACCCACAGCCAACATCGTTCTCGGTGAAACACTGAAACCATTTCCTCTAAGATCAAGAACAAGACAAGGTTGCCCATTCTCACCACTATTATTCAACATAGTTTTGAAAGTTTTAGCCACAGAAATCAGAGAAGAAAAAGAAATAAAAGGAATCCAAATCGGAAAAGAAGAAGCAAAGCTGTCACTGTTTGCAGATGACATGATACTACACATAGAGAATCCTCAAGATGCTACCAGAAAACTACCAGAGCTAATCAATGAATCTGGTAAAGTTGCAGGATATAAAATTAATGCACAGAAATGTCTTGCATTCCTATACACTAACAATGAAAAATATGAAAGAGAAATTAAGGAAACACTCCCACTTACCACTGCAACAAACAGAATAAAATACCTAGGAATAAACCTCCCTAAGGAGACAAAAGACTTGTATGCACAAAACTATAAGACACTGATGAAAGAAATTAAAGACGATACAAACAGATGGAGAGATATACCATGTTCTTGGATTGGAAGAAATCAATGTTGTGAAAATGACTATACTACCCAAAGCAATCTACAGATTCAATGCAATCCCTATCAAACTACCAATGGCATTTTTCACAGAACTAGAGCAAAAAATTTCATAATTTGTATGGCAACACAAAAGACCCCCGAATAGCCAAAGCAATCTTGAGAAAGAAAAACGGAGCTGGAGGAATCAGGCTCCCAGACCTCAGACTACACTACAAAGCTACAGTAATCAAGACAGTATGGTACTGGCACAAAAACAGAAAGACAGATCAATGGAACAGGATAGAAAGGTCAGAGACAAACCCACGCACATATGGTCACCTTATCTTTGATAAAGGAGGCAAGAATATACACTAGAGAAAAGACAGCCTCTTCAATAAGTGGTGCTGGGAAAACTGGACAGCTACATGTAAAAGAATGAAATTAGAACACTCCCTAACACCGTATACAAAAATAAACTCAAAGTGGATTAAAGGCCTAAATGTAAGGCCAGACTCTACAAAACTCTTAGAGGAAAACATAGGCAGAACCCTCTATGACGTAAATCACAGCAAGATCCTTTCTGACCCACCTCCTAGAGGAATGGAAATAAAAACAAAAATAAACAAATGGCATCTAATGAAACTTAAAAGCTTTTTCACAGCAAAGGAAACCATAAACAAGAGGAAAAAACAACCCTCAGAATGGGAGAAAATATTTGCAAATGAAGCAACCAACAAAGGATTAATCTCCAAAATATATAAGCAGCTCATGCAGCTCAATCTCAGAAAAACAAACAACCCAATCCAAAAATGGGCAGAAGACCTAAATAGACATTTCTCCAAAGAAGATATACAGATTGCCAACAAACACATGAAAGAATGCTCAACATCATTAATCATTAGAGAAATGCAAATCAAAACTACAATGAGGTATCACCTCACATGGGTCAGAATGGCCATCATCAAAAAATCTACAAACAATAAATGCTGGAGAGGGTGTGGAGAAAAGGGAACACTCTTGCACTGTTGGTGGGAATGTAAATTGATACAGCCACTATGGAGAACAACAGTATGCAAGTTCCTTACAAAACTAAAAATAGAACTACCATACGACCCAGCAATCCCACTACAAGGCATATACCCTGAGAAAACCATAGTTCAAAAAGAGTCATGTACTACAATGTTCATTGTAGCTCTATTTACAATAGCCAGGACATGGAAGCAACCTAAGTGTCCATCAACAGATGAATGGATAAAGAAGATGTGGCACATATATACAATGGAATATTAGCCATAAAAAGAAACGATATTGAGTTATTTGTAGTTAGGTGGATGGACCTAGAGTCTGTCATACAGAGTGAAGTAAGTCAGAGAAAAACAAATACCATATGCTAACACATATATATAGTATCTAAAAAAAGAAAGGTACTGAAGAACCTAGGGGCAGAACAGGAATAAAGATGCAGACGTAGAGAAGGGAACTGAGGACACACGGAGTGGGAAGGGTAAGCTGGGATGAAGTGAGAGCGTGGCACGGACATATAAACACTACCAAATGTAAAATAGATAGTTAGTGGGAAGCAGCTGCATAGCACAGGGAGATCAGCTCAGTGCTTTGTGACCACATAGAGGTGTGGGATAGGGAGGGTGGGAGGGAGACGCAAGAGGGAGGGGATATGGGGATATATGTATATGTACAGCTGATTCACTTTGCTATAAAGCAGAAACTAACACACCATTGTAAAGCAATTATATTCCGATAAAGATGTTTAAAAAAAAAAAAGAGTCATGTACCACAAAGTTCATTGCAGCTCTATTTACAATAGCCAGGACATGGAAGCAACCTAAGTGTCCATCAACAGATGAATGGATAAAGAAGATGTGGCACATATATACAATGGAATATTACTCAGCCATAAAAAGAAACGAAATTGAGTTATTTGTAGTGAGGTGGATGGACCTAGAGTCTGTCATACAGAGTGAAGTAAGTCAGAAAGAGAAAAACAAATAACATATGCTAATACACATATATGGAACCAAAAAAAAAAAAATGGTTCTGATGAACCTAGGGGCAGGACAAGAGTAAAGACACAGACATAGAGAATGGACTTGAGGACACGGGGAGGAGGAAGGGGAAGCTGGGATGAAGTGAGAGAGTGGCATGGACATATATACACTACCAAATGTAAAACAGATAGCTAGGGGCTTCCCTGGTGGCGCAGTGGTTGAGAGTCCGCCTGCCGATGCAGGGGACACGGGTTCATGCCCCGGTCCGGGAAGATCCCACATGCTGCGGAGCTGCTGGGCCCGTGAGCCATGGCCGCTGAGCCTGCGCGTCCGGAGCCTGTGCTCCTCAACGGGAGAGGCCACAGCAGTGAGAGGCCCACGTACCGCAAAAAAAAGAAAAAAAAAAAAACAGATAGCTAGTAGGACGCAGCCTCAAAGCACAGGGAGATCAGCTCGGTGCTTTGTGACCACCTAGAAGGGTGGGATGGGGAGGGAGGGAGACGTAAGAGGGAGGGGATATGGGGATATATGTACATGTACTGCTGATTCAGTTTGTTATAAAGCAGAAACTAACACACTATTGTAAAGCAATTATACTCCAATAAAGATGTAAAAACTAAATAAATAGAAAATAAAAGAGTGAAATTTTGCCATTTGCAGCAACAAGGATGCTTGGAGGACATTATGCTAAGTCAGACAGTGAAAGACAAATACCATATGATATCACTTATATGTGGAATCTAAAAAATACAACAAACTAGTGAATAAAACAAAAAAGAAGCAGACTCAGAGAACAAACTACTGGTTACCAGTGGGGAGAGGGATAGGGAGAGGGGCAATATAGAAGTAAGGGATTTTAAAAAAGGGTTATTGTGGGATTATATGAAATCATGTGTGTGAAGCTTTTGAAAATTGTAAAGCACTATAGAATTTAAAGAATCTTTCATTCAATTAAAAAAGTTTTTAAAAAATAAAAATGGTTAAGATGGCAAATCTTATGTTATGTGTATTTTACCACCAAGAAAAAGTTTTTTAATGACAAGTAGTGTGCAGATAGCAGTGGTGATTCTGTAACTACATCAAAAACATCCAGCCAGGGCAGCACTTCATGGATAAAGTGTTTTTCAAAGGATGCAAAGGTGAACTTTTACAAAGGCATCAGCTCTGCAGTCACCCAGTGTGAACCACGAAGCCAGAAATCACAGTCAAGCTCAAACACCACAGTTTGAATTTTAGGTAATAAAATCGAACTGCTTTAAATTGGCAAATAATTCAAGCAACGACCTCATAAGTCCCCACGACCAGTATCAATTGGGGGCAAATAACAAAGAATGCTGGCTTACTATCAGTAAGGCACATTTCTTGTGACAAATTGGTACCAAAAATATATCCAGTGCTCCTGAAAAAGTCTTCTACAAAGTAACGTGATATGAAAAAACAACATTTCTTAATGTGCACTAATAAAGCCCTATGCTGAACAGAATTCTATCATGAGGCTACATGTATTGTATTTTCTGAAAGTTTGGGTTTGCTTGGCCACACTGTGCGGCTTGTGGGATCTTCGTTCCCCGACCAGGGATCAAACCCAGGGCCATGGCAGTGCAAGCATGGAGTCCTAACCACTGGACCACCAGGGAATTTCCTGGAAGAATTTTTTTTTTTTTTTTTAATGAAAATCAATTTTGAAATACTTTCTGGAAAAAAAGGGGAAACTGGATCCAGGAATCAAAGCCTACTGCATAAAGGAAATGAATAACCATCATTGCCAATTATTATCTTCTGTCATGATTAACGACATAGGAAAATCTGGATTACGCCACGAGGGAAATTTCAAACTAACACAATGAGGTTAACAAAGCACATGTCCGGAACTTCCCTGGTGGTCCAGTGGGTAAGATTCCATGCTCCCAATGCAGGGGGCCTGGGTTTGATCCCTGGTTGGGGAACTAGATCCCACATGCATGCCACAACTAAGAGTTTGCACGCCTTAACTAAGAAGTCCGTATGCCTCAACTAAAGATCCTACATGCCACAACTAAGACCAGCGCAGCCAAAATAAATAAATATGTTTTAAAAATATACTTATAGGGCTTCCCTGGTGGCACAGTGGTTGAGAGTCCGCCTGCCGATGCAGGGGACACGGATCCGTGCCCCGGTCCGGGAAGATCCCACATGCCGCGGAGCGGCTGGGCCCGTGAGCCATGGCCGCTGAGCCTGCGCGTCCGGAGCCTGTGCTCCGCAACGGGAGAGGCCACAACAGTGAGAGGCCCGCGTACCGCAAAAACAAAACAGAACAAAACAAAAATATACTTATAAAAACAAAAAAAACCAAAACACATGTCCATGAAGGTGGCACACGGGCTGTGGTCCCGTGAGATTAGGGACACCTGTGTATGGAGGTTCCTACCTCTTGGTGATCTGGCTGGGCTCCTGCAGACCTGGGTCCAGGTCAAAGCCCTCATTGTCCAGCAGCCTTCGGAGTGTCACGTCAGCCAGCTGCTCCATGATCTTGAACACCTCATCTAGGTTCAGAAACATGGAGAAGTCCCGCTCCTTATTCTGTGTGGTGATGCGGATGGTATCCGTCAGAAAGACGTTGGATGTCCTCTCCAACTTCTGGATGTCAACCCAAGGGACTATAAGTTTAACTAGAAAAGAAAAAAGGGCAAATACAGATTTTACCCTCAAATGTAACCCAAACTTGAATGCACCAGCAACAGTGCAAAGCTTTTCCTGCAGCTGAAATGCAAATAGCTTTCAAACCAGAGCAGGAAAGAGGAAACACAGGAACTGCTTCACAGCTGTTCGTTAGAACCCAACCCACCGTTCTAACAATTATCTTAAAGATTTAAGTAAAACTTCCCAAGTTGCTGGCTACCGCACACATACAAGGGACATCGTTCTGCCATACCAAGTTAACAACGTGAAAACTTTCCCCCAAACAGTTAAACTTCAATATTTGCAAAATACGCAGATGTTTCTTGATCCACGTAAATTCTGGTTTCAGTAGCAGCATTCATGGCATAAGCTATGAGAAACAGAGGTCAAAAGAGGATTCATGATCTGGTTTAGAGGCACAGGCCTAACATTTAGATGATGTCAAGTGACAGCTGCTCAAATCTTCGAAAACAGAGCACAAGTAGTTTTTACTGAAGTACTATGGTACTAACTGCACAGTTATAATGCTAGTTATAAACTAGCATTCTGTTCTCAGAAGTGTTTCCAGGGCAGTGGTAATTAGGCTAGCGAGCTGATGCAGAGCAAATGGGGAGGGACATACGTAACAAGTCAAAATGATAAATGTTATCAAATATTAGGAATCATTTCTTTTTTCCAAGTTTTATCAACTTAACAAAATCAGGTTTAGTGACGGCGACTGATAAATATCAGAAAATAACTCATTTTCCTTTTCAAGTGAAAATGGGAATGATGAACTGCTTTTATTTCTATCATGTCTCTCCATTTATTTTGCAATAATGTTTTCAGTGCTTTAATCATTTAAAAGTCCACTTTTCTACATTAGGCATGAGAATAAGCTTCTTCAGCTACCTCTAGTTGCTTTTATATCGTTCTTTTCACACACCGACACACTCCATCTATGCTATCAGCTTTCTCGTTAAGCATCTACTTTGTGAAGAGCCCCGCACTTAAGAAGCGCGTTCAAACAGGAATAACAGACGTGTAAACAAAGAAGCAACCAGGGACCTGACAGGACCCAAAACAGATGCAAACAGAGGACAAATTACAAGGGGACCAGGGAAGGCTCCCTGGAGATGAAAAAACGTGAACTGAATTTTAAAGGATGAACGAGAGTTCCCAAATGGGCCTAAGAATGGGGAAGGCCAGGAGAGACAGGGTGTTCATTTTGAGAAGCATTTCAGAAAGCAGAAGAGCAAGGATGGCAAGGGTTAGGTAAGAGCACATCCCAAGGGTGAGGAAGGCTGTGCACACAGGGGGCATGTACTGGGGTGTCTGAGCCCAGGCTGGTGGCACAGGGAAAGACAAGGCGTGACCCCGTGCAGGATGCTGGCCACAGCAGAGTGCAAGAGGAGCCCCGCACACTGGTTCCACGTGAAATATAAACAAACGCAGGAAGAAAAAAATATATACTTAAATATATAAATATAGATACAGCACATACGCCACCCTGCGTGGGCCCTTGAAACGATATTTGTTACGGGAACAAGCTTCAATGGTAATGACTTTGAACGTTCCAATATACAATTGACCCTGTGGCTTCCCTTTTTCAGCCTGGAATCCCATTGCCCAGAACGATGACAGTGGGTGGAAAAATGATTGAGAAGTGACTCCCTGCCTGGATCTCAGGGGGTCCCACGTGAGGAACCCCCTTCTAGGAACAACTGCTAGTCTCCCAGGAGCAGTGGTGACCTTCAGGCCTGGGAATTCTCTAAATGGCCCCCCTGGATTCAGAAGCACAACCTGTCCCATTCCTTTAGAACTCCTGGGCCATCAGTTACAACACTGTTTTCAAAGTAATAGACAATATAGTAGCAAAAACCCTTCCGTACGGTTTTTGCATGAAGGGAGCTACACAGAAAGGATCCTTAAGGCAGGACAAGAAATGAACTCCCGCAAAACCAAACCTCCTTAGATTGGGACTGACATGTACACACTCCAATATATAAAATGGATAACTAATAAGGACCTACTGTATAGCACAGGGAACTCTACTCAATACTCTGCAATGACCTCCATGCGAAAAGAATCTAAAAAGGAGGGGATATATGTATATGTATAACTGATTCACTTTGCTGTAGAGCAGAAACTAGCACAACATTGTAAATCAACTATACTCCAATAAAAATTTTAAAAAGAAAATCAAACCTGCTTCGTGGTCGTCGTGTATGTAATACAATATGATTGTCTGCAGAGGGCATTTGGAAATTAATCGTGTGTGACCTGTTATGTCTCAACCACTTATTTAAATCTTTTGTCATCTAACTAGTCACATAACGAGTGGTCTCGGGACCAGCGCTGAGCATCCCAGGGGCCAGGTCCACCTGGGAGGGACCCAATCGCCCCTCACTTACGCTCCTTGCCCAGGAAGAAGGAATAGAAGCAGAGGTGGTTGATGCTGAGATAGAGCCAGCCTTGACGGGGCACCCTGCCCTTCCAGCAGCAGCACGAGTAATAGGTGACCAGCTTCTCGGCCTCCGGGAAGTTGAACCTGGCCTCGAACTTCACCAGGGCCTCTCGGAACTTCTCAGGCTCCTCCTCCTGTTCGGCCAGCCTGCTGCTTGTCTCCTCGGCGATCAGAGCCTGACGCACAGAGAGAAGGGTCCCCGGGTCAGGAGACGGGCAAGGACAACCGCGCATGCGCAGCCGGGGAGCCGGCCCCGCTCAGACAGACCCACAGGGTGGATAAGGACCCCGTGCACCCCCCAGAAACACGTCCCCGTGGGGAGAAAGCAAGCTGGGGGGGAACCCCAGCACCAGTCTCTCTCTTGGCCGCTCTCCAGCCATCAGGCTTTGGAAATCTCTGACTCCCAAGCTCCAGTTCTCAAACATGTTACTATTTTATAATCTCTCCCTGCTCCTGCCTCCAGAGACACGAGTCAGAGAGAGTCAAGTGACTGTCCCGGGTGTGTGAACTCAATGCATCAACCCTGAAGAACCACCCAAGCTGGAGTTTAAAAGTTGGTCTTTTTACAGAAATGAACCCATCTACGAAACAGAAACAGAATCATGGACGTAGAGAACAGACTGGGGGATGGCAAGGGGGAGGAGGGTGGGAGAGGGATGGAGAGGGAGTTTGGGGTTAGCAGATGAAAACCATTACATATAGGATGGATAAACAACAAGGTCCTACTGGAGGGCACAGGGAACTACATGTTCAATATCCGTGATACACCATAATGGAAAAGAATATTTTTTAAAAATGTACATATAACTGAATCATTTTGCCGTACAGCAGAAATTAACACAACATTCTAAATCAACTATACTTCAATAAAAATATGTAAATAAATAAGCATTGGTCTTTAAAAAAAAACAACTCACGAATGTCTTCCTCATTGGGTTCAAAAACTGGGTGTAAAGCCAATAATGCCTGCCTGTGTGACACCTGATACATTCCACCACCACTATATCACCTCTAGTCTTCTAAGGTAGAAAAGGGGCAGGGGGGCTGAGGTTCCTGAGGTTGTCAATACCTCCAGAGCACCTCAGTATACGGGGAGGCAAGATGGGAAAGAAGAATCTGAATCTACAATTGTTTTGCTGATGACAAACAATAGTGAGGATCCTCTCTAAATCTGGGGCGAGGGGGTAGACGTGCCTAGAATGTAAGCTGTGGCCTGATCCTAAGGGTGACAGCACACTGACAGTATCAGAATTCTGATTCCCGTTCCTGAGAGCTCACTGTACATTTTTTTTCCACCCAGAATTTCTTCTCTTCAAGAACTCCCCGGCCTCAGGCCTTACATATGCTACTCGATTTTAAAAATACACTGTAATTCTATCTTTTTATTTATTTTTATTAGCACCTTCCTTCCTTTCTATTCTTGTATGGGTGGTTTCACAAAAGGCTAATAAGATAAGGCCACTTTTGGGGGAACTGCTGCCCAACCTGCATTGCACAAGCGGTTTTAGAAAATATCCTGGGCATTACCATTAAAATAAAAATGTAATTTAAAGTTACTTTAAAAGTCAATCTGAAATTTCAAGTGATTTGCATTTCCCTCATTATGTTTTTCTTTCTTTTCCAAATTTTATTTAACAAGACATTATAAAATATAAATGTTATAATTGAGAGGTATTTTTTTAAAGCGTGTCTAATATATAATAAATGCTCTGCACCTTGAAACGTGAAGGGGATTTTTTCTTTTTAATTTTTATCTCATTTTTTCACTGCACCACACAGCATGTGGGATCTGAGTTCCCCAACCATGGATCTAACTCGCACCCCCTGCATTGGAAGCACGCAGTCTTAACCACTGGACCGCCAGGGAAGTCCCTGAAGGGGATTTTTTAAGAAGCCTCTACAGCAAACAGTCACGGCTCCAGACGAGGGCGGCCACACAGACTGCTGGCTTCCTTGTCTGCTGGGTCTGGTTACAACACAGCTCAAAGCAGAGGGATTCCTTTCCTGGTGGTGCAGTGGTTGAGAATCCACCTGCCGATGCAGGGGACGCGGGTTCGTGCCCTGGTCCAGGAAGAGCCCACATGCCGCGGAGTGGCTGGGCCCGTGAGCCATGGCCGCTGAGCCTGTGCGTCCGGAGCCTGTGCTCCGCAACGGGAGAGGCCACAACAGTGAGAAGCCCGCGTACCGCAAAACAAAAACAAAAACAAAAACCCTCCATAGAGCTGTCGATGGTCAGGTTTTGAGTAGGAAAGCCCCAATCCCAAGATCCTTCAAATCTGCCCAGGGCAAAGGGAGAACCAACACCACATGGTGGCCCCAAAGGCTCGACCAGCCTCCGACCAGCCAGACCCCTCAATCCCCGGCCCCTGCTCCAGGCCAGCAGCCTCCCCGGGAAATAGAAGGCATGTTCACCATGAAGTGTTAAGGGATCAGAATACGCCACCCCATAATATGCCACTCTGGCATAAGAATTATTTTGAGCTAAAGACACTTGACTAACAGCAGATGCCAGAAAAGCTCTCTGCCCTCCCCCGCTATTTACCTAAAAACAGGACACGAATCCCCATTTCTAAAGGTGTCTCCCAGTCCTGTGCCAGAAAGAGGAGAGCAGCTCTTAGACTCTGAACCACCAGAGACAACTCTGGACTCTGACCAACTCCAGAGGCACCAGCAGGAACCTACAGGATGAACCCGACTGGAGCAGTCAGTCTCACTCCAGTACCCGGTGTCCGGCAGTTTGCTGCCCTAAAAGGCCGCACTCCTGTTCCTCTGACTCCTCACTTCTCTACAGATGCACTGTTCTTCGTTACGATGCTGCCCAAGCCCCAGGTCCTAAGCACCCCTTTGAGTGACTCATCACAGAGTTTCTCCTACCTGTCTGTGGGCCGCAGAGGCTGATAAACTGTTTTTCTCATTAATCTGTCTTCTGTCAGTTTAATTTCCAGGCCCCTGGCACAGAACCTAAGAGGGTAAAGGAAAAGTTTTTCCCTCCCCTACAGAAGCTTTCTAAAAGCCACTGCAGCAGAAATGCATTTCCTCGTTCCCAACTAAGAGGAGAAACACCTAAATCAAAGGACCGCCACAACCCATGTGAGACCAAGAAAAGGGGTCAACGTGAAAAATAACTGTGAACCGGGTATTTCTGTTGCTAAGCCCCAGTGCAGCCTGACCCAAGGAACCAAGTTGGACCAGGCTGTGGTGGTAACACATGAGATGGACGAGACCCGCCAGGGCTTGCGCCCACCTGCTAATCCCCACCAGACAACACTGTCATTCCACCTGGACTCAGAAGACTGGTCTTCTACCTGATCCCACAAGTATCCCCAATCCCCAAATGAAAAAGGTGCTCTTGTTTTGTCCTTTCAAATTTGAGAATTCACTCTAAGACCCTTTACTAAAAGCCAAAGCACATGGGGTGCTGGAAAGGCACACTTTTGGGAAGAAAAAAACAACACTCTGGGATGAAAACTGTATTACAGGCTAATGTGTTAAAGTGTTTAGTAAGACAGTTAAATTTAGAATGAGAAACCGTCTCTCCCTGAGAGGGTTTTTTTTTTTTTTTTGATAAAACATTTTATTTATTTATTTTTTTTAACATCTTTATTGGGGTATAATTGCTTTACAATGGTGTGTTAGTTTCTGGGCAGTCTACCTGAAAAAGAATTCAGAATAATGATAGCAAGGATGATCCAAAATCTTGGAAATAGAATGGACAAAATGCAAGAAACATTTAACAAGGACCTAGAAGAACTAAAGATGAAACAAACAACGATGAACAACACTGAGAGGGTTTTTAAAGCACTGGTTACCAATCATGCTTTTGCAGTGAGACCTGTTAACATAAGACATAGCTCACAGCAGGTATGGAGAGAGACCTCCCCAAATAGTCCTCTCTTTTCTCAAAACTTATTTTGTTTTAATTCTTCACTTAACATATTTTAAGAATAAATATCCACTTTCAGAAGGAGGCAAGTGCTAGGTCCAACAAAACAAAAGACGGAGAAGGTGTCACAGCTGCAAACAAAGTTGGGAGTAACTAGCTTCAGGGGTCAAATAACATTGTTGCTGTGCAAAAACACGAATCTTAGCATTTTTTCTTTTTCCCTGAGATTAAAAAAGGACCTTCACTTCTGTAAAGGGTAACGAAACCTCAGGCCTGAGAATGAGGCTTTTGTTGGGTTTTTTTTGTTTTTTTTTTTTTCGGGTGAATTTTGTCAGACCGACTCTGCAAAATTTGACTGATGACAAGTCAAACTCATTTTGCTTTAGGTAGTAAGCCAAGCAGTTCAATTACCACGGAGAACACTGTTAAGGGAGAAGAATATGATTAAAAATGCTGTAGCGTCTAGAAGGCTGTAAGGACGTGATAAGAAAGATGGGGAAACGGGGAGAAACATCACAGTCCAGGGACCTACCTTCACCTTCCCTTTGACAAAACTGGCAATGTCATCTTTATTATCAAAGATGGACAAGGTGTGGAGGAGATTTTGCTCCAGCCAGTCCCAGTGCTGGTTTATTTCCTCTAACGTGGCACCTGGGTTAGAACAGAAAAAGACACAGAGATTAAGAGACAAAAGCAATTCTTAGAATATGAACTCACTTTCCAAATACGAGTCCTGCATTTATGTTATTAAAACGTTCCGGCTTCTCACATCCCAGTTTGCTGGCTGACAAGGCAGGCACCCTCCACTGGGGCCCTGGTCCCAGTCACCGCAGCACTGGGGTTTGGGAACACCCATCCCTCTGCCACACGGATGGACCAGCCAACCAGACGAGTCATCCCCGGGACCTCTCTGTGGGCGTCCTACCAGTCTCACTAACGCGTGGAATTCTGACCACCTCCACTCAAGTGACAGAAACATCTATAATTATACAGCCATTCCAGGGGAAACAAGCCCCAGGGTGACCAATTCTGAACATTCTCATAGAATTTACCCCGTAAGAATGAGGGTCCCTCAAAAGGAACCTCAGCCCAAGTTCACAGAGAGAAGACCTCTTGAGATGGCTCTGCCAGTGGCCCAAGGGCATTGCCACTAGGACATTTCCAGGTTTATCAATCTGTACTTCATATCTTTTATTTAAAAAGCCCTTAAAACAGATATAAAAAGAGGTTTTATTGTACATGTTAAAACAAAACCACAGAAACATTAAATCGTACCTAGTAAATTAATTTCTTTCAAAGGCAACTAAAAACACAATCAACCTATTAGTGAAGCATTAAGCAACATTGTTACCAAAAAGCTTAGACATCTTAGTTGTCATTATTTCCTCCTAGACCTCCCCACTGGACGTGGGCACCTTGGCACGGGGACCGTGCCAGCTCCAAGTGGTGGGACAGAGGTTTGATCAAGTCCATGACTTGAAGCAAGCACGGTCCTGCACAAGAAGAGGCATGTGTACATCGGGTATGTCTAGTGTGGAAATAGGTGAACGCCTGGCTAGGAGGGCCGGGTTTCCCAAGTGGGAAGCCGAAGATACCCTAACCTCAAAGGGCTGGCAGACAAGCAACAGTGCAGAATAATCTAGCCAACGTGAGAGGCATAACGACCAACAGAGTCATGTACCACTTACGGAGAAGCCAGACATGCATTATGCTACCTCTGAGCTTTCTCTCTCTCTGTTACCTGCAGCATTGCTCTCCCCAGAGTGTGAACGTATGTGAGGACCTTATAAATACCCCCCACATAGAAATGCCAGAGAACTCACCTTGGACCTGTGGATTTGGGGTGAGTATGGAGAACATCTGTACTAGGACTATTGTTCTGATGGGCACTTTGGGAAGGAGTAAAAAGAAGAATCTAAGAGAACTCTCATTTTTCCCCATAAGGAAAAATGAGAGTTTAAACCAATCGTATTTATTTCCCTGTATTCTCCCATTTTTAGGTATGGCATTGCCAAAGCAATGTCCTTTGGTCATCACTAGAGCAGACTTCTCGTCCTTCTGATAAGGGCACTAATCCCATCAGGGTGGCCCCACCCTCATGACCTCATCTGAACCTAATCACCTCCCAAAGGTCCCACCTCCAAATACCACCACACTGGGGGTGAGGGCTTCAACATTTGAATTTGGGGAGTTGAGGGGGACACCATTCAGTCCATAACAACCAGTGACCCTACCCAGCTCTCCATGAGTCCTACCTCCCGTCTTGCTCTTTTGGGATCATAAACCCAAGACACAACCCACTTGGGGTAAGTGGCCACGAACTCTATCTACTTCCCATCCACCTAGGAGGTCCCTGCAGTCTCAGGAAGCCCCTGGCCCTTCAGGCTCCCTACCCCTCTTATGGGAGGGAGAGATCATTTTGAAACAACAGCCTCACACCACAAGTTTCCAGGCTCCACAGCAGGGCTCTCTTGAAATTTCCAAACAATGTCCCCCTGAACTGAGGACCCACACCGTCTGCTCCTCACATTCAGCACTGATGTGGCTGAGGTGGGCATCTAATTTACCTGCCTCTGGCTTAATTCTCCTTGCACGTTCAGTGTCCTCGGGTGGCAGCTACCTAAGTGTCAGTCACCAGGACACCCCCTAAATCTCGTTGGTCAGCAATGGTTTCTTTGCAGGGTGGGTGGAGGGACAGCACATCACACGATTCATCTCAGGAGAGAGTCTCTGGGCCACTGAAGCCAATAAATTTGCACAGGCTCCTTGGGGTGGGCAGCTCTCTGCTCTTCTCTGGCACTTTAAGGTTTCCTCTCTCTAGATCTTTTTTTTTTAATTTAACTTTTATTTTATATTGGAGTATAGTTGATTTACAATGTTGCGTTAGTTTCAGGTATACAGCAAAGGGACTCAGTTATACATATACATATATCCATTCTTTTTCAGATTCTTTTCTCATATAGGTTATACAGAGTATTTAGTAGAGTTCCCTGTGCTGTACAGTAGGTCCTTGTTGATTATCTATTTTATATATAGTAGTGTGTATATGTTAATCCCAAACTCCTAATTTATCCCTCCCCCATCCATAGACCATTATCCTTTATTATGCATCATAATGAAACCAACTGGTCAGAATTTTTTTTTAAAAAAAAAGGGCAAGGAATACATGGAAAAAAGAATATCTGTACTGGCCTTCAATCTTTTGCCATATGTTTTCATATACTTCCTAATTTACCAAAAAAAAAAAAAAAAGACTTGGAGGAGTGGGGAGGAACAGAGAGGGGACAGGACTCACTCTGTGACCTTTCTGTCCCAGGCGTGGTCTCACTGATGTGAAATGAAGGCTGAGTGAGGAAGGGGGCCTCAGATACATCTCCAAGGTCACTTGTATCCAGTAAAAGGCAAACCAGGGTGTGAAGCTCATTCTCTATGACCTTGAAGTGCCCTGGGGTCCTCCCATAGAAGCTGCATTTCAATTTTCAAGTAACACTTACATAATCCAGTCCAGTAGTTCAGTCCAGTAGTTCCTAGGGCTTGACACTAAAAAAGCTACTTTGTGCTTGCACGTAGAGCACGCACTCTCCCCGCCATCACATTTTCCTGAGGGTGTCTTCCTGGATGACATGAGACAGCTTTTCACTGATCCTGTTCCTAAGCTCACAGGGCCAACAGTTAGCTGTGAAACCACGTGTGTCTTCTCCACCTGCTAACTACAGACGCTGTGAATAAAATTCCAACCGAGCCCCACCACAGTATATCATGTGGAATTAAGACCTGAGGTCACGTCATCCAAAAATTTGACTTTTATCCTTTAAGAAATTCTTCTACCTCCTGGGGAGAAGCCTTAAAATAGGGGAAAACTAATCTAGAACAAAAGTAAGCTCACACCTTGAGAGAGAAAATCAACACACGTGTAAAATCGATCACTGAGCCGCAGTTAGGGGAGGTTGTAATGAAACCCGTCACCCTGTCCTGAATCTGACACGGCTGTGTGCCTCTCCCAGCAAAGACAATCACCGTGATGGAACTTTCCCACTCGACTGTCTTCTACTTCCTACGAAAGTTGCCAAATGGCAGGGAAATTTTCCGAACTATAATTTCCTCTGCAGGGAAGTCTTATGATGGGCTTCAAAAATACCATGAATCAGGGCAAGCAGACTGCACACCAATGACTCAAAGGACTAGAAAGGAAAGTCACGTAACATATGTGACACATTGAAGCTCTGAACCCACATGGCAGCCATGTTTCTCAGCTACATGAAGTAGCCCACCAGGAAACAGCTGTTTTTTAAAAAATGAAATATTTAGAAAATACATGCCACTTTATAAGGGCAATGACTGACTCATGAAATATTTGTTAGAATTATGCACACACTCAAATATATTTCTGTCTGTGGGTCACGGTCAAAATGTTTGAAAGCCACATTACAGACATATAAGTGGTGAAAAATGTAAAGAGGAGAAAATAAGAAAGTGAGAATTTGTCATCCACTGAAGGGACAGAATGATAAAAAGGCTACACATTGCCTCAACACTACAGCAGTATTCCCACTGCTTCTGCTGTGGGCGTTCCAAAGCCAAGATGGAGGAGAACTGTTATGGCCTGAGTTGGGTCCCCCCAAATTCATATGATGAAGCCCTAACCCCCAACGTGACCACATTTGAAGATTAGGGCCTCTAAGGAAGTAACTAAGGTTAAATTAGGTCATGGGGCAGGGATCATTATAAGGACTGGTGTCCCTGTAAGAAGAGGAAGAAACACCAGGGATGCATCGTGTGAGGACCCAGCAAGAGGGCAGCCGTCTGCACACCAAGGAGAGAGGCCTCAGGAGAAAGCAACCCTGCTGGCACCTTGATCTTAGACTTCCAGACTCCAGAACTGTGAGAAGATAAATTTCTGTTCTTTAAGCCATCTAGTCTGCTGTACTTTGTTAAGGCAGCCCTAGCAGGTTAATACAGCTTTCTAAAACCAAAATGTATAGCCTTACTGTGGATTGTAACAGAAGCCCAATTAGCAAAATTACATCGATACTTTGTTTCATTAAGGCCCCTAATTTTTGCTGGAAAAGACTTCTCTCTTTTCTACGAAAATTCAAGTTCGGTGGATCTTACACATTACCCACACAAGAAGTCAAAAATCAAATCTGTAAATGGCAATGCAAGACTAAAATACAGTATTAGAAACATCAGTTATGACCACAAGACAAACCACACTGCTGGATTTATAATAACCAACTTGATGGTCTAAGAAAGAACTGCACCAGAGATGCAGGCACAGGACACTTTCTGAAGCCAGGCATCTTGTTAGGTATGTTGTACACTTAACCTTGTTCATCTTCATGAAAAGCATCACAAGATAGGTATTGTTATTTCCACCTCCTAGGTGAGAAATCTAAAGTGCAGACAAGAGCCTACCTTGAGGCCTGTTCTTCTGGCTCTTTCTGTAACGCACGGTGGAGACTGGAGCCCGGGGAGTAGGGTGGGGCGGGGGGGCAGCTCCCAACAGCTGAGTCACTTTGAAACTCACACACAGTATTTATTATCTTAGGTTTGCCCCAGAGGTATTTTCAGGAAATAAAACAAGCATCTCATTGTCTATACTTAAGCTTCTGCACAGAAAACAGTCATACATAACTTGATCCCAGCTTCAG